TTTACTATTACTACACTATGCTACCCTGTACTGTATAATAGTACAGCATTCTATGTCACAACACTCTATACCAAGTACTATTACTACCTAAACTACCTCATGCTATATTATACCATAGTATAATATAGCATTAGCATATATACTATACTAATAGTATATATGCTATTAGTTTATATTAGCATATATACTATGCTAATGCTATATTATACCATTAGTATAGTAAGTGTACTATGCTAATGGAGTGATACTCCAGCTGCCGCCAGTTGTGCTGGTTGTGTGTCAAACCTGTGAGCTGTTTAGTTGCCAAGGGCGACAGGCGATGGCCAGGATGAAGGAGAAGGTGGCAGCGAGAACGGCGGCGCAGCTCAGGATGAACAGCAGGTGGAGACGATCTGCACAAACAGCCATGTTAGCCTGGAACGTCTCATCTCCTCACCATTTCATCACCTCACCATTTCATCACCTCACCACTTCATCTCATCGTTTCATTGTCTCATCACCTCACAGCGACAGCAGTGATGTCACTACTGATGGTAAAATATAAAGCCCCTTGATGATTGACCCCTGATTGGCCGATCAGGCCGCCATAGATGAGATTGTCAGTAATCTGGAGCTGAAACAAAAATAATCCAGGAACCCCAGCAGCTCCACAACGATGTTGGAAAGTTTCTAAGGGACCAAATGAAGGAACGTCGATGATCTCCAGGCTGGAGTTTGTTTTGGTGAAAAAGTCGGAATCTCTGGATCACAGGGATAAACGGATCCCATCCTTCGGCCGCCATGTGGGACCGGTCCGGTTCAGACCGGTCCAATGAAAGCTACAGATTAATCAATTGTTTTTCTGCCTGTGTTCCTCTTGGTTAAAGACTCAGATATTTCTGGCAGACCATTTCTTCTTCTATGGTCTTGGCGCGGTCGGAGCTCACCGTTCCTCGTGACCTTGAGGCTGAAGGTCACCCGCAGCGCGCTCACGGCGTTGCGGGCGCTGACGTCCAGGCAGTGCAGGCCGGCCGAGCCGAAGGTGTGGTTCAACCGCAGGCTGGCGGCACGCAGCAGGGTCAGCGTGCAGCCCGCCGCCGGGTCCGGGGCGCAGTTCCTCAGGAACCGCCAGCAAACCCACATGGGAGGACTGGACACACAGCAAGGAACTGGGTCAGAAAACAGAACCGGGTTCCGACCAGCAGAGAGGTTCTGGTGCTGCTCACCTCCCGTCCAGCTGCAGGTCCAGGCTGGAGTTCCGGTTCACGCTGTAGTCCGACGGCGCCACCAACTGGATGCTCCTGACCGCATCTGGAGTGAAATCCCAGACGGGTTGTGAGAGTTTGGACCCAGCTGGTACCGGGTCATCAGCTGTCTGCTAAAGTATTCACACCCCCTTCACAAACACAAGAGAAACAGAGAGGGCCTGTCCCCCCTTTACTCTGACGCCCATAAATACAGCTAATTTGGAAATGCTAACATCCTGAGCTAACTGTTAAAAATATTCCAATAAAATGCAAAGCCACAATGTTCCTGTGAGCGGATCTTCATTCAGGAGTGATTAAAGTTTCAGCTGAAGTTTCCTGATGGTTTGGAGCCAGATTTTATCGTTTCCATCTGAACTTTCAGGACAAATGGACATCAGACGGTTCATGTCAGTGAATTTACCATGAAGTTTAACAAACCGAGCACTTGGACCTCCTGCGCGAAGACTCCAGCAGGAGCGAGCTGCGGCGGGTTGCCTCCGACGTTCAGCCGCAGCGTGTAGTTTCCTGACTCTGAGTATCGGTACCGGACCACCGGCTCGGTTCCCCGGATCACCTCTCTGCACCAAAGACAACAATAAACACGAGACGGAGCAGAACGGAGCCACAGGACGCGCCGTACCCGTTCCCCAGGTCCCAGGTGTAGCTGAACCCGGCCGAGCTGAAGTTCCTCTCAGGATCCAAGAGCTCAAACACGGTCTCCGTGGCAACCCCTGAGGCCAGCGCTCCCGAGTCTCTCAGGTAGGTGGCGCTGCCCTCCGTCTGGTAGAAGACCAGCCTCCCAGCGACGCGCTCTGCCGTAAACACACCAACGAGTTCCAGGGTCAAGAAACAACCAAACTGCTGGCGTCTGCCGAGGAGCCGCTGGAGGACGTACCCGGGTCCGTCAGCGGGCCGGCAGACTCCGTCAGGGCTGCAGCCGTCAGCAGGAGGCGCAGCAGGAACCACGCAGGACGCGCTCTGCAGAACAAAACGCTCAGAAAGGATTCTGGGAGGAAAACAGCTTCAAGGTCACAGAAGTTGTGTTACCTGTCCATTTCTGCTGCTGCTCTGCTCCAAACTGCCCAGCGCTCTGACCAGGAGGCAGTGAGGGTGGAGCTGCTCTCTGAGCTCCAGCGATAAAAGCCTGAAATCGGCCTGAAATCGGCAGCATGCGTTCAGTCAGGAGGCAGCAGAAACACCAGCAGCTTTTGAAGGAGGTTCTGGTTCCGTCACGCTCTCTCACGGTTAATTAAGGTTGATCTAATAATTTCCTCTGAAACAGAAATCAGAGCTGAACGCTCAGCTGATGTTTGGTTTTTCTAACGGTTATAAAGCTCAAAGTTGGTTTTCTGAGAATGATTCAACTTCCAAGCAAACCATGAAGAGCAGATCAAATGATGACCACGTGGAAGGTTTGGCCTTTGTGTTTCGGTTCTGGTGACAAACAGCTGACCCAGAACTTTTCTAAGGTCAGAAATGGTCAAATCCAGAAAACAAGCAGTGAAACAAGCTTTTCTCTTAGAGATCCAAACGTGTAAACTAAGACCAGAGGGGCGAGCGGCCATCGGGACGCTTCCCAGCGGCCTGGCTGCGGCCCAATAAGGATGCTCGGTTCGGGTCACACTTCATGAAATAAAAGCCTCATGTCCCTGCTAAAGCTCCCAAACTCTGCAGATGTGTTTGCTGGAGGAGCCAAAATGAGGCAGGAACTGGGATTGTGTTGAATATTTTAATGGGAAAAATGACAAAGAACTTATAAGAATCACAGGGAGCCAGAGCCGAACAAAACTGGAAACCAGAACAAAAAGTGAAAAGGATAAACCAGGAAGTGACGGATTATTATTGAGTTTAACAGGAGAGTGAGCACCAGACGGGTTTAAATACTGTTAGCTGAGCTAACGGGTCACGGGCATGAGGAGAGAGAGAGAGAGAGACTTTTAATGATTCTGATTCTCTACCTCAGCCTGATGAACATTTTCACATCAAATGGCAGAAATATGGAAGGACAGCTTCTGGATGAAGAAATCTCATTTTACTGAAGTGAGTTTGCTTCCAACAGTCACTGCAATGTAAACACAACCAAAGATTTTCTGTCTATGACTCGACGCTCTACTTTAACCTCATTTAATAATAATCAATATCGAAGATCAATGAGGGATTATTATAAACAATCAGCACAGAGTTTTGGTCTTGATGACATCTCCTGTCCTCCACCAACCGCAGGCCGCCCCCTGCAGGCCACTGAAGTAACAACATGTCAGCCTGTAAAAAACGACTCTTCCTGAGTTTTATCTCCTCCCACTCTGAACATTTGTACTGTTGATGTCAGTACTTTCAGTATTTTAATTCATCTCATCGTTTCATTTAGATGAGATGTTGTAAATATTCATTTAGAGAAATCCATCCATCCATTTCTTTACACCCTGATCCCGTCGGGGTCTGGAGGGTGCTGGTACCTAACTCCAGACCATTTGAATCTTTTCATTTTCAGACTGCCTATAAACAAGTGGTACCACCAGCCAGGAACCCCCAGCTGACACAGATTGTTGAATGTGTATTACTTAAGAGTTAGATTTGAGTAAAGTGGGCTCTTTATGAATAATGTTTGCAGTCTGACCCTTTGTTGTGACATAATGAATAGTGACGCCAGATGAGGAAGGTCATCAGGTCCTCCAAATGTCCCTTGCCAGAAAATGCATGTCATCGACATCCATCTGCCCCCGACCCAGTTGTGGCGCCCCCCCCTGGACTGGAAGCTGTTTGCTGTTTTTACCATAAAGTGGCCAACTCTCTCTCTGTTTGCTAAAAGAAGACTAGCTAATGTTAGCTAAAAGATGACTAGCTAATGTTAGCTAAAAGATGATTAGCTAATGTTAGCTAAAAGATGATTAGCTAATGTTAGCTAACAGATGACTAGCTAATGTTAGCTAACAGATGACTAGCTAACACCAATACAGCACCTTAAGTTGTTAAGTAGCAGCCTGTAGGCTACTGATGTTGTCTGTGTTGTAGTACTTGTTACATTCACTCGAGTAACTTTTTTGTAAAAAAGGTTCTTATGACAGTAGTTTTACTGCAATGTACCTTTTTCTTTTACTTGAGTAATATTATTATTGCTACGTAGATTCATGTTGTCCCCCCAAAATAAGCCGATGCCCCCTGTTAAACCCCTCTGGAGCCGGGGCTGGTCGGGTACCATGAACCCCGTGGCCAGGTCTGGCACCAACCATCAAATTATGGGCCAGAATAAATGCTGCAGCTATCCCCTACCCTCCTCAAAACTCCTCCAGTGTGGCACGAAGCTGAAGTTGGTTTCCGATTGTAGCTTTCGATTCGGGAAATGGCTAAAGGGCAATTCCACCTAATTTTTCATTACCTTTTGCATCTTTTACCAACTAGTTTAAAAACTACAACACCTAGACTCTTCAAACCTGGACTGGATTATTCTGCTCTAGTAGCAGAATATTTAGAACCATGCTTGGGATTTCTGAAACCTTTTCTGATTTGAAAGGTTGATTTTACCACTTTTTTGCATCTGGATCACACTAGAACTGCTCCAGTTCCTAAAATACAACACCTAGATTCTTCAAATATGGACTGGATTATTCTGCTGTAATAGCAGAATATTTTAAACCATGTTTGGAATTTCTGAAACCTTTTCTGATTTGTGAAACTTCACTTCATTAACAGACCCCTGGAGCAGCTCTCATGTGATGAAGATCCAAAAAAGGTCTGAAATCAACCTTTCTCAAAGTTTCACAAATCAGAAAAAGGTTTCACAAATCCCAAGCATGGTTCTAAATATTCTGCTATTAGAGCAGAATAATCCAGTCCAGGTTTGAAGAATCTAGGTGCTGTAGTTTTTAAACTAGAGTCAATTAAAGATGCGGAAGGTAGTGAAAAATTAGGTGGAATCGCCCTTTAGCCATTTCCCGAATCGGAAACCAACTTCAGCTTCGCCAGTGTGGCTGAGTTAAACATTTAGGCCTTAAAAAGCAAAAACATGATTTAAAAACAGCTTTATACCTTGTGTCGTATTGAAACAGCGCCCCCTGCTGGCCCCGCAGAGCATTTCACTGATCGATACCTCGTCATTTAATAAGCGCTTCTCTCCCACCTGTTGACTTTAATGAGTGACGCCTCGTTACGTCACAGGGCCCGCCCTCCTCCTCCGTGTCCCGGTCCGGACCAGTCCGCCCAGCAGTCGGTCCGCCTCTGAGTCCCGAAACGTCTCTGGCCTCAAGCTCGGAACCGAGATCCAGACTGGAGCCGCTGGGAGTTCTACTGGCACCGAGGACAAACCGGGATTACGGAACCACGTTTGGGTTTTCCTGAGTTCTGCTACCTGGAAGAGAGACGAGCTGCCGTCATGGCGAGGACTCCCGACGGAGTGAGCAAGCTGACGGAGAGCACGTTCAAGGTGAGACAGACACACCTGGGACAGAAACACCTGAGACAGAAACACCCGAGACAGAAACACCCGAGACAGAAACACCCGGGACAGAAACACCTGGGACAGAAACACCCGGGACAGAAACACCTGAGACAGAAACACCTGGGACAGAAACACCCGAGACAGAAACACCCGAGACAGAAACACCTGAGACAGAAACACTGTCTCAGGTGAGACTGCTCACCTGCTGCTCTTTCTAGTCCATCTGGATGTTTGTTTTTTTCTGGTGATTTGAAACGAGATAAAACATCTAAATCTTGTTTCTATGTTTGTGTATTTCACTGATTAATTTGAAGTTGGTATTTAATTAAAGTCTGGGTGTGTAGCCGCCGGTCCGGTCCGTCCTGGTTCCGGACCGGTTCTGCTGTCTGGGGAAACGGGCCGTTCTCAGCTGAACTGACTGAGTCTTCAGTTTCTGATGGGTTATCTCGTGCGCTGGATGTTTACACAGCTCACCTCCACCTGTGTCAGGTATGAGAGCCCAGCCGGCCTGAGGCAGAAGCAAACCCAGCTTCTGCTCCTCTGGACCCAAACGGCGACTCGGCCTCTTCTCAGAACATGGATGAGCTCAAACGGCTTATTGTCGGCCAGAATGGATTCATTTCTGAGGCAGGAGTCACATTTCATACTCTGTCAATAACTCAGATTACTTTATCTTTTCAGTTGTTGTTGGAGTGAAACATGAGATTAGAGAAATCTTTCAGGGACAGAGTAAAAGTTTGTGAAATGTGTTAATCCAGCTGTGAACAGATCAATCCTCATCTTGATTGGCTAATCTTTGTGAGTAATCCATGTTCTGTTATCAGGTTCAATAAACTGGAATATCTGATGATGTTCAACCGTAATCCAGATTACATGAAGGAGATAAGATACGACGCATGCTTCCACACTGCAGCCTGTCCTGCGTCGTTTTAGGCTCAACCAGTTAAACCAGAGCTTCACACTTCATCAGGAACCAGGAGGCACAGCTTGATTATTAGATTAACTCATCATTAATCTGTCCTGGCTGGAAGGAACCAGCCTGGAGGTCAAAGGTCAAACTGGGAAAGAGATGGAACCAGGAACTGGACTCTGTCCATATAAAGTCCTTCCTGTCCTTGATCTCTTCAGGTGTGTGTGAACCAGGTTTTTATGTTGTTTCTGTCTGCATCCTGGTGCCATGAGGGGAACTGCAGCTCCTGGGTCGGGGGTTCGGTTTGTGACGGGGGGGCTGGCTCTTCAAAACGAATGGAAGTCGATGGAAAGGCCCCACAAAGATACACAGACACGACTTTGTGTTTTCCCAGCATGGAGGTCAAGTTAAAGATTGAAGGTTATTGTCGTCATGACGATATTTATAGACCAACTGCAGGAAGTGACTCTGACCTGGCTCTCCACCCAGAGCGGCAAGGGGACTCGCTCTCCTCTTCCTCAAACGATCAGAGATGTTTACCGGGAAAGCAGCAGCAGTGGGACTAACTGGTTTCTGGTTCTGGTTCACAGAATGTGATGGAGCAGTTCAACCCAGCCCTGAGGAACCTCGTCAACCTGGGAAAGAGCTACGAGAAGTCCGTCACAGGTCAGGTCACTGGGGTCACCAGAGGTCACTGGGGCAGATGATGATGATGATGTTCATGGCGGTTTTCTCCTGCAGCCATGACCACGGCCGGAAAATCTTACTTCAACGCCGTGTCAAAGATCGGAGAGAATGCCATGGTGTCGCCCATGTCCAGGGAGCTGGGTGAGTGCAGCTGATTGGTTCAGGCCTGGTTGCCATGGCGTCACTAGGGTCGCCATTAATGAGCTCAAACTTTCAGCCCAACATGATGCTGATTCAGTGACCCTGGGAAAACCAGTCAGTATGAAAACAGTGATCTATAAATCTGTGGCCAGAGTCCAGATTCATGTCTGTTTGAGGGAAAACAGAGATTTAGGGTCCTGTGCATCAGTCAATCAGTCAATCAGTCAATCAGTCAATCAATCAATCAATCAATCAATCAATCTTATTTATAAAGTACCGTCATTCCAAAAGCGCATTAATAATATATCCATTGTTTCCTGTGTCACTGGTGGCACCAGGCCACGCAGCGCTGGGTGCATGTTCAGCCCCATGACCCGGAC